ATTAGTCTATGAATACTGGGGGTTGAGTGGTGTACTGGTCGGGTCGGAGGCAAGTCGGGGGTAGTGCGCGTCGTCCCATTACATTGTGTGCTATTTTTGGCTGCAACGACCAGCGGGTCGGGCCCGACCAAACTGGAAAATTTTGGTCGTGCGACCAGGGCCCGACCAGTGTCCGACCAGTCGACCAGTGCGCGCTGTTCCATTTATTCCTATTGTAAAACTGGTCGTATCCGACCAGTCGGAGTCGTGGTCGTGGTCGTGGTCGGGATAGTGCGCGCCGGCCCTAATAGTTGAGATTGTCCAGGGTCAGGTGCTGACTGTGATGAGTTAAGCCTTTACGCGCCACTGTTCTGTAGCTGCGGTTGTTATCACGATTACGCCTCCTGTCTATGTTTCGTTGTCGTCACGTCGGAGGCATTTAAAAGAAAAAAAAACAACAAATAAACAAATTATAGCTACACAAAACAACGATAGATGTACAAATTTAAGTTACAATCATACTAACACGATCCTTCTGAAACATGACTGAGTTCCCAGACCCCAAAATGGGTACGTGGAACTTTTACCAAGATTCTGTGCTCATGAGAGATCTGCAGGTGTTCAAAAAATACAACTGAAATGTGATTAACATCTTTTATTACCAACTCAATTAAAAATATTAACAAATATGCGCCCTTAAACAACAGCGAAATAATATATATACAATTTGGTACAAGACTTAGAATGTAAATCAATACCAGTGTTAGGCCTAAATCATTTACCAAAACATTTATGTATGTAACTTTACCAAAATTGAAGTTCAAGTTTAAGTTTAAGGACCAAGCTGGTAAGTAGAAGAAAATCCTTACTTTAAGTTAGGTTAGGCCTACTCAGAATAAAAAGTTTAGGACAATGAAAAATTTAAAAATATGAATCTTAAAAGGCAAGAAATTGAAAATATGACATAAAACAAACATTGAATTGAAATGACCTACAATGAAATCATTTAAAAATAGTATTAATAGTATTTGACCAAAATATCAACAACAAGTTGCGTTTAAAGAAATACGTTCGAACAAACCTTTCAGTTCAAAATTACACTCAACATTGACATGAAAATATTTAAATAGCAACATAAGACAATTATACACGAATATACACTAACATCAGGATAGAAATTTAATTTAAACAGTAAGAAATAGAATTTTTTTAAATGGCAAAAATTGTGGGGAAGAATTTAGTACTGGTGTTAACCGAAACTGAATTTAGAACAATTGGGCCGAAAGTTTCCCCCGTTAGAACAGAAATATTTAGCCTATTACTAACATAACATGGTACATACACAAAATAATGAAATAAACAAGGAAATGTGACACCCTACTAAATACATGAATTCTTGTAGCTTTGAAACACTCGTAGACCCGTAATATAAATATACTGTATTCTTGTTGACTTTTAGTTAGTTCCAGTTCCACAACTCAACTCGCAGCGATAGAGAAATAAAATCATTTAATTTGAAACAGTAAAACACAGGGGGATTTATAGTCTGTAGTTTAGTCCAGAAATAAGAAGTAGGCCTAGTTAGGGAGACACTAAGTTCAATTTGCTAGGCTACAGAATTTAAGAAGTTGAAACGGTAAAACTTTAAATTGGGGAAAAACTTGATGTAAAATAACTGTTCTTGAAGGTAGGCTGAATGAAAACGTTGGAGTAATAATAACATGGAGTAGATAGCACCTGGTTTGTAGAGATGAAGAAGGCCAAAGTTCTCGTAGAATGTTTCTGGGTGAGGTCCTTCCGCTGCGAGTTGGTTGAGGTTAGGCCTAGTTTAGTCCGGGGGCGACGCCCTCGTCTTGCTCCGAACTAGGTCAGGATCAGGAGGCATGATGTGTCCACTGCTGTCGGTCCAGTACAGGAGCCCTTTAAAATTACACAGGCCTACTTAAAAGTTGAAAATAACCAGTATTTCAGAATGTTTATCAAGCCTAAACCTTTCAAAGAAAATTGACTTGGTCTTTCGAGAGTTTTCGGCAGAGCTAATTTACATAAAATTTTAAGTAAAAATTTAAATATCTGTAGTCATGGTTAAACAAATAATCTCTATTGCTTTTCTTGGCTTAACAAAACAATACATATTTTCATTCAGTTTTCTGTTACTAATACTAATACAATTTCCAGCCTAGGCTTAGCCTGTGGATTTTGTTTAGGAAAAAAAAAACTAACTCTTTCACTTTAGTTTAGTTTAGAAAACCTGTAAACACAAACAATTAACGACTCAGAACAACACAAATAATTAAAATCAACAAATTTACCAAAGTCGAACACGTGTGTCCTGAACACCAACATGAAATTTTCCTGTCTGTGACCAGACAAAAACTAACTTTAAGCACAAAATTTTATTGACAACTACAATTTTAAACATTTGACAAGACAAGTTAAACAATTTAAACAACTTTAAAAGACATTATAAACAACATTTTACACAAAAATATAGAAAAAGGACAAATCTCTTGTGAACGCTTTCAAGAACAGACAAAAAGTTTGAGGGAAAATGGCTAAGTTTAAAAATGAAAAAACGGACAATTAATCTAATACAATGATTTGACATACCTGGCTTGGTGTCAAAAACAAATTTAAGGTTGCATTTTAGGAAGGTCGAACAATATAAACTAGGAAAATCTTCTTTCTTGAGTCTCCATAGTGCCAGTAAAATTTGGAACGTCAAACTTGTTGGAAGATTTCAAGTAGAGAGAGCGTCTCCAAGCAAATCGGAGAAGAAGGGGAGTAAAGACAAAGTGGACTCGCCCACGGCCTTTGGCAAGCGTCGGCGTACAGTGCCTCTGCCGCAATATGTACTATAAGAAATACTCTCCTCTCTCAAACTGAGCCGACTGACACGGCTCACTTCATAGTGACACAAAACAACGATAAATACACAACATTAAGATACAACCATACTAACACGATACGTCTTGGGGGTTATGTTTACACAAACTCAAATAGTAAATAAATGTACTCAATGCGTTTCATTGAATTGAAAAATAACAGCAATTAAATTATACAGCTGATCAAAAAGTAAACAATTATGTTCTCCATAAGGATTACATGGGAACTTTCAAAGCCACTGGGGCAGAGCCCAAGGGACTTTTTCAAAAATGTAAGGCCAGTTTGCAAATCTACGCGACACGCTCTTTCCAATGAGACGTCAATGGATAAAATCTGTTAAGAAATGGCGGAGGAGTTCAACCGACAAAGTTTCGTGTAGCGTATTAATTATATAGATATATACACCATATTACCACACTACAAATGTAATTCTACAATATACGGTACGTAGTTTTATCCAAACAAACGATCAAAACCCCCTAATGATATTGTTATTTGATTCAATAGTCAATGCACATAAGCGAGTCTTATCTTTCAAAGCAGATTAAATAATACAAAGGCAGAGGAATGCGCGAGAACGAGGTCACTTCACGGTTGCTATAGAAACGACAAAACTATCCATTAGAATTGCGCGCCAACGTCAACTAAACTCCAGACTGTATAAACACGCCGAGTGTGTAGTGTTCGACGGAGCTAGGCTACTTTCAGTTAGCAAGACTGGCTTCTAGCCTCGAGCGACGTGGTTCAACCACGAGAAGCGCCTCAAACTCCTGGGTAATCCCCGGTTAGCTCCTCCCACTCTGCCCCCTATCCCCACCTAAAAGACGAGCAAGTGGTAAGTCGGTCGAATCGATTGACGACAAGTAGGTTTCTCGTATATAATAATTTAGTTTTACAGGCCGGTCAACTGGAATGACGATGAAATAACTTGTCGACGTACTGGTTTTCAGTATTTATCTATTTAATTAAAAAAGACGGTCTAGTGGCCAGACGACCAAGTATCTTGTCGGTCTACTGGTAGGCTCCCATTGGTTTGTCTAGTTTCTAAAGCTGCTTAGGAAAACCAAATCATATTAAGTTCTATAAAATTACACCTTTAAGGAACATAATAAAACACATCCATTTTAGTTTCTAGTTTTTAGCATAGCCTATTTTTCAAAGAAATTATTATTAGGAAATAAAAGATAATTATGATCAATAGCTGGGTTTTGTTTGCTCCTGCAAATAAAGAGTATTGTACTGCTACAAACATGATTGAATTTTTTATACGTAGGCTACCGGTACTAAATGCAAAGTTGAAACAATGTGAAGCGTAGAAGAGTGTTTTATCAGTTAAATAATGATCAAATAACTCATGTTGAATTATTTCCAGATTGATGAGCACGACTAAACTGAATTTCAAATGTATTCATTTACTAGCAGGATTCGAACCCGGCACCTTCAGATTATCAGCCGACACGCTATCCACTTCACCACCAAGGCTCATGACTCAGCTGCTCCGTATCGTTGCGGTAATGGTTGACGTCACGCCATCGGCACAGAGCGGTGGTGGGGGGTTTTCCGATCTGATCCACGATCCTCGGAGTTACACTGGCTGCCTAGACGCTTATAACAAAACTTGATCGGAAATGGTTGCGGTTTTTGCAAACAACTTTTAATGTAAACATATCAGTGACAGCTAGAAGTGAGAACTAATCCAAACAGCTGATCGTTATTTCATAAAATGTACGGTAATAGTAAACATTAGGAGAAAATTTGACAAAAATCTAACGAAATTGGGTTATTGATGGTTTGTTATTTTGTTTTCAAAGAAGCGAGGCCATGTTTTTATAGCCAAAGACACTCTCACCAATCCAGTAAATACAGAAAAATGATTAGAACTTTGATCGGTAATCTAGTTTTCTAGGAGAAGGCCGCGTAAAATGACATTTTGGCGTTACAGACGGAGTCACAGAATGGACAAACAGACGTATACAGACAGAAATTGAGATAAGACTCGTTTTGACTTTCTTAGGCTATGAAACGTAAAAATAGCCAAAAACTGCATGATTCTAAGCAATGTACAGACAAAACTCTAATTTTATTTATATGTATAGATATTTGATTGAAAATAAAGAAGATAAATCATTTTTTAGATATGTGGGCTATAATAAGAATTGTTGAAGACTCGACATATGCCGTTGTACCTGTTTCATGGCTAGTGGATGACAATACATGCTATTATCCAGATGTCGATAGCAAAACTTTGAATCTACTTGTGGCCAGAGCCCAGGAACCTGGGACGAATTGGGATGTGGTCCTGATTGAGTTAATGGATAAAAACATTGGTAAGTATAAAATCGTTGTTTTTCCTAGTTTACATTTTATAACTGACAAGTAACTGGTTGTATAGCGTTGTTCTTTTTGTCTAAGCTATATATAAAAAATAAAAAACAAACAGCCTATAGGGGCACAGAGAAGTAAATTACAGAGGAACACGCTGTGGGACAACCGTGCGTTTTCATCTCTGGTATGTTGGGGGGGGGGGGGGGGGAATATATTTAATACGAGCAAGGAAGAGCCCGAATGGTGAGCACTGTGCAGAAATTTCTATGGCACAGGGTCTTTTTCAACTATGAGTTTTGTAGTATATGATAGCGAGGGGGTGGAGAAGGACTTTGCTCTAGACACCAGCACTAGTGCTAGACACCACTTAAGTGTATCATACAGCGTATATTCTGTTCAATACTTCTCCGTGCTATAAGTTACCATTTTTCAAAATGCCTCAATATCTTGAATCTGTTAACAGTTAACGTTAAGATTGATTGATTTTACTGCAATGTATAGGCCTATTAGTATAATAAAACCTAACCAAACATTTGCCACCCATGTACGTCTCTTCAGAGGTAAAATGTTGAAATCACATATAGTACTTTATTGTGTAATGGCAAAATGTTCTGCCTCCTAGAAACTGTCAAATAGTTAATAGTTTAATATCATATGTTTTTGGTTTTGTGTTATGTAAATAAGATCAATAATTATGAGTAGTTATAAGAAAAATCTCCCATTAACCCTCCGAGTGTCCCTTGTTTTGGCCTTAATGTCTGCCTATTTTTTGCTCATTTGCAAGGTTTTATTAAAACGGATCAGAGAAGCTTGAAAACAATGTTAATTATACTGTTCTATAAATACCATTTTGTTTGGAAAATCACGGGCTTCAATATTATACATAAAACATAAGGAACATTTGTTAAAAAAAAAATCTTTAGGTAAAAATAAATATTTTGGAAAAAAAAAAAATAAATAAGTTCGCGCTCAATGAAATTGTATAAATTATAGGCCTATAAATATTTGAAAATTATCATTTTGTTCTAAATTTTATGAGGATTACAAATATATAATAATATAAGGAAGTAGATTTGCAAATAAATAAGTTATGGGCAAAAAACAGATTTCAGTACAGCGTTTACCTAAGAATGCATAGCCTAACCATAGCTAGGAATCTGGCTGATAATCTATATAATTAATACGCTACATGAAACTTTGTCGGTTGAACTCCTCCGCCATTTCTTAACCGATTTTATTGAATGACGTCTCATTGGAAAGAGCGTGTTGCGTAGATTTGCAAACTGATTTTGCCTTACATTTTTTTTAAAGTCCCTTGGGCTCTGCCCCAGTGGCTTTGAAAGTTCCCATGTTATCCTTATGAAGAACATAATTGTTTACATTTTGATCAGCTGTAAAATTTAATTGCTGTTACTTATTTTTCAATTCAATGAAATGAATGGAATACATTTATTTATTTACTATTTGAGTTTGTGTCAACATAACCTCCAAGACGGCCCGGACCGTGTTAGTATGGTTGTATCTTAAATTTGTACATTTATCGTTGTTTTGTGTAACTTAAATTTGTGCATATATCGTTGTTTTGTGTAGCTATAATTTGTTAATTTGTTGTTTTTTTCTTTTAAATGTCTCCGACGCGATGACAACGAAACATAGACAGGAGGCGTAATCGTGATAACGACCGCAACTACAGAACAGTGCGTAATAGGCTTAACTCATCACAGTCAGCATCTGACCCTGGACAATCTCAACTATTAGGTTACAAATGCGCCCTATCACTACCCCAAAAACGATTTTTTGTTATCAATTGGCCCTCTATCGATGACCTGTGTTGCCTTTACAGCGAGGCATTTTGAGAAGGATAAACCCGGCCGGAATACTTTAGGTTTATCAATAACGAAGATAAACATGGCCAACATATGGCTACAAGTCAGGAAATGATTGTAGAAAACATTAAAAAGCAATCCCAGGCAATGAAATATGATACAATATTTAGGCCTACAGGAAATATTGATTACTGTTATATACATCGTGAGTATCTCTATGAGTTACACACCGGTAATCTTTGAGTTGACTCTTTTAAACTCATTGTAAATATGACTGTTATTCGTTTTGAATTAACTCCTGTAATACTTTACAATTGCTCGAATTCGAGCAACATGTACACTAGTTTACATTAATATCACTACCTACTTCTTCAGGATCATCAACCAGCCCTTCAAAATCACTTAAATCTTCTTATAATGCACCACGTATATCACTACTTTTGATTTTTAACACTAAAACAATGATAAACGTAATAAAACACATCAGTCATCGGTCCGAGGTTAACCAAGCTGTTTACAAATACGCACGTCAGCTGTCTGCTACAATATTTTCGGAACTAAAATGTAAAGCGCTTAGAGACAGACCTCCGGAGAAAGCTCTGAATCTGTCAAATAAAACGATACCTAACTCGATCCAGTTCAATCCGATTTTGTCAGTCATAGAGCCTTCGCCGTAAACAGTGTTTGTGAGTCGATGCATTGACACAAAACACTACACAAAGTGTGTTATGTGTCGTTGCATCGACAAATAACACTCGGAGGGTTAATACATACCACTCTTTTGATTATAAAAAATCCAAAAATTGTACATATTCATAATTTTGGTGATTTTATTTTTGGAATATCCAAAATTCAATACAGTAAAGTCTTATTATTTTTCCTAACACTGTATGGAAATAATCACATTGCCATACCGTAAACAAAATAGCTTATTGCCGCTCTAGAGCAAGAATGGATCATACCCCCTAAATAAGCTAAATAAGCTGATCTCGCAATTGTCGTTTGGAGACGAACCACAGCCACGGATTCGGTACATTAAATATGAACCAGTAAGAAATAACACAACCTTTAAAATACCCCCGCCGCAGCAAACCTGCAGACTAAGCGAATTTCCATTTGACTGATTGGATTTACACTGAAATGTCTACCTACTTAAAAATATAACATTTATTCTTGATTTAAATAGAATTAGTTTAACAAGTACTTAGGTTTGCTGCATCAGGGAGGGTAAAACAGTTTTTTTTTTGTAAAATGTGAATAGTTAGTAAGAAATAAAAACATTTTCCAAATTTGATCAAAATATGTTCACAAACAAGCAAACTACAACAGTTTGCTTATTCTCCATAAGAATAACATGGGAATTTTAAATTTACAATTTTTTGGAATTTTCTCCGTAACCATTAGGCGCATAATAACGCTTCAATATACTAAATTATTTGTTTTTTTAAGCTCTACAAAATGGTTTGGAAAGAAATTGCCAAATTTTATGTTTTTTGGGTCAAAACTGGGAAAACCCTATTTTTACCCCATAAAACCCCCCGTAAACCCCCGTTCCCATGGTCCGATCATGCTGGATCGCGAACTCGTTCGAATAAACGTACTTTTACACGTTTGTACCAAATTTCATCAAAATCGGATCATTTTTGCTCGAGTTATCGTGCTGACGGACACATATATATAAATATATAAATATATATATATATATGAATTTGAACGGATGGTGTTTTTGGCCTCTAGGGACCTCAAAACGAAAAAAAAAATCGGTCCCGCGTCCAGGTCTTACCATGAGTACTACGGTAATAGCTTATTCCCTATATGGGAAATTCGCTAAAAGCAAACACAACCTAAATTACATTTAGCCTATATAAACCTAAAAAAAAAATCTTTTTAGAAAAATCTTTTTTTGTGTATTACAAGCACAAGCAGTCATTGCCGCTTTCTAAATGTATGGCCAGCTAAAGCTTCGTGCAGGCATCTACAGTTCTCGAGCCGCAATTACATACTTTGCACTCCTAATACACAAATAGTTATTATACTACTGCTACAGGACTGAGCGATTAATAAACTTTATTCCCTAGTTATAATACCTAAAGTAGCTTAGCCCTGATACATTTTTGCAATACTTATTCCAGATAGCTTTGAATATTGCATGTCAATCATTGCCTGCCTCAAGAAAGGTGTGACATCAGAAAATGAAAAAGCAATGAGCAAACGGAAGAAGTCTTCATCCATGAATTCAGAAAGAAGTGATGACGAATCAGACTCTTCTTTAGATGACATTCAATCGTTTAAAAAAATCCAAACGCCGAAAAAAACTCGAACAATCACCTCAAAACTCGAACCACTTTCCCCAGTGCAAAGTTCTCCTATCATTTCGCCTGCTGCGGCTTTAAGGCCTTCAACAGAACAGGTAGAAGTGTGTTCTACCCAAGAGTCATCCTGCAGACTGCCCAAACAAAGTGAACATTACTGTGTCTTCAAGTCAAAGGAACAGGTTACATTGGAGGCAATAGGGCATGCTCTCTGTGTAATAACACGTAAGTAAAGTTTTTTACATTATCATAGTTACTATTATAGATGTAAGACTTTCTTTGCAAGAGGTATTAGATGGAATCGTGGAAATTGCTATTTTTCATCAATCCGTAGTACAATTTTAATTTTTTTTTAATGTACAAATTTAAATTTGAACAATTTTTTTCTTCTGGATTTTCTATAAAATACTGTAGTTATTTGAATACCGTAGATGATACACCATTCTAAAATATACCTATAAAAATAAATTCTATGGTTCTGAGTGGTTAGTCACAGACACCACCACAACACACCTCAGAGGGGATAATCACTTCTGAACATTAGATTGCTTATATAAACAATATAAAGTTATATAAACAATAATTATTACACTAAACATTTATTCTCTTGTAAAATGCCACTGGCGTAGAAAAAAAACGAATAAAATAACGTTATAAATAATACAAAATTAGAGTAAAAAAATTATCTTAAAAGATCCTTTTTTAATCTACAGTATTTAAAAAATGTAATTCTTATATGTTGTAGGAAAACTTGAAGTTCAGGAAAATAACTCGTCATTTCTTAAAGAAGAACTTCGAGCTATCAGACAGGCTATTGAAGTAAAAGAAAGAGTTCAAGATGTCCCGAATGAACAACTTCAAAACCATGAAGAATTATTTCAAGAACTGCCACTCAATTCAGTTGAAGAGGTGGATTTGTTTGAAGAGCAATTGAAAAGGAAAGATCTCTTTCAAGCTTGTGTAAGTAAGATTGTTTGAATTACAGGGTGTCTACAGCTCCCGGATGGATATCTCCGATCTCTTGGAAAAGTCCCAAATGAATAGTTGAGGCCCAAAGCAGAACAGAATTTTAACTTATTGTGAATCATTGAATTAATACCAAAATAGTAAATATTTATCCGAAGCACAAGATATTTTTATGCTGATTGCGTAAAGTTATTTTTGTTGAAAGTTTTATCACTATAAATTAGATTGATGGTTGTTGGTAGTTGCTCTGTTATTTAATTTCATTTTATTGTGAACTGTTCAATGGAAAAGTCTCCAAATGTATCCTTTGTACGCTGAAAACAGTTGTAGCCCCTGAGCTGTTGGACATAATGTAAGACTAAATTACTTACGTAATTCCCGTCACAGCTCAATAAAATATGTCTATTCAGGACATGTTTCGGTGTTAAAACACCATCGTCAGCTTCAGGTACATAGTGTAGAGTTGATCAGTTGTTAACATCGTCAGAAGAATAAATAAACACAGTACGGACACGAATAAATACATAAAACAATTAAACAAAAAAAAAAACAGGCCTGATCTAACAAAGATGACCGACCACACATTAGCTAGTCTGTCCCTTGCTACCTGTGCGGTCGGTCATCTTTGTTAGAACAGGCCTGTTTTTTTAAAATGTTTAATTGTTTTATGTATTTATTCGTGTCCGTACTGTGTTTATTTATTCTTCTGACGATGTTAACAACTGATCAACTCAACACTATGTACCTGAAGCTGACGATGGTGTTTTAACACCGAAACATGTCCTGAATAGACATATTTTATTGAGCTGTGACAGGAATTACGTAAGTAATTTAGTCTTACATTACTGAAAACAGTGCTTTGAAGTTATGTAAATATTCCACTGCACCTAACAGTGGCACTGGAAAAAATCACCGAATGTGCTGCTGTAGGAAAAATTTTTTAACCGCCCATATAGCAAGGTAAATCAACAAGAACAAGGATCATGCCCTGTTTTATCCTGTTTTTTGGATAGCCTATTAAGGGCAGGCCTATTCAAGTTACACTTACATTTGCTTGAATTAACAGGGCTTAAAATATCATACTAGATTCAAACTAAAATCATGTGTAATAATACCCACAATTCCGTTCCTTAACAACTCTATCGGGACTGACTGGAACCAAGTCCACATTGCTATGACAGCCATTTTCATAAAGAAATCATCTTGTCAGTCAACTTAACCTTTATTTAATTGAATTTAGTTATTTTACTTAGTTTGCTTGATTATGCTGTTATATAGTTACTTTACTGCGTTTATAATTTATTGCAAAATCATAGTAATTTAGTAGGTAGTTTTTATCAAGGAAGATAATTGGCAACAATTAATCCAAAGGTAAGTGCTAGTATATTACATTTTTAGCATGTTTATTTTAATGATAACTGTTTGTGAAGTCAGTTTGTTGTAATATTTTTTGTTTCAATTATAAAAATTAAAGGAACTAGCATCCCAGATAGCAGGGTATTTTTTCGCACAGTTGCCTTAGTTCGACGGGACAATGATTCTTCTGCAACTTTGCGTAAAGTTTTATTCATTTGCCGTGACAAACGTTTTTCTCACTCGTGAAATCAAAGTCGTATCTTTGCAACAGTTTGCCAACACTTAGTTGCGCTTCGTTAGTTCAAGAGTTCGGCACTGAGAGTGCTGATTGTTTTGTTGAATGACGCCACCTTCGCCTGACACCATATTGAATACGGTTCCTCGTATAAATGTCTTTCCATCATTACCTCGCCACTGTTACTGTTAATATCAGTGTGGCGGAATAATAATATGTTTTTTGCAATCTTTCTTGCAACATTAGCTTGCAAATGAACGATCAACAGCTGTATTACGGTAAGTATTTTAAAATTTACTCTCATTTTACTGTTCACTTTTTACATCTCCTTGTTTCTCAACACTTCACACTTCCGAGAAAAATGAGAATAATTTAAAACCTTTGTTTAGTTTCTACATTTTTTTCCTTGAGTTAAAATATTAAAAACCAGGTCTCAGACTCGTTGGTAAGAATAGGATTTTAAGTTATATGTTCTGGGACAGGAGGCCTAGTTGTCATTGAGTGTGCTGCGTAACATTACAGTGATGTGGTTAAAATAAAGTCTTGCATACTAGTATGTGCCAACACATTCAATAAATGCCCCCCAAAGCTTGAGATGTCTCTTTTTCCCGACTGTGATTCATCTAGACAATTCAAAATTGCCCAGTTTAGATTATTTTAACTGTCGTCAAAACCTGATAAATGTTGTTTTCTTTCAGATAGCTCTGTTGTTCTAATTTCATTTTCTCCAATAATCTTAATGCCATGGTTATTCTGTGTCAGGTTTTAGAAAAAAAACAACTAAATTTATGAAGAGCCTCAGTCTCGCTTCTCTCTTGGCATCTTTAAAGTGGACAATTTGTCACCTAATGTTGTCATCAAAGAAGTCTTACTTTTTTCCCATAATCTTGTCTTCCTTGCATTAGATCACCAGAAAATAGTTCTCCCTTACTGCACAGTATAATAGAAAAATTTGACAATGAAACTAAATTTTACTTACCATTATCATTGGATAGCCTACTTTCATTTTTTTAAATTCACTAGTTCATTTTTATAATCCATCAAATTATAAAAAAATATTTTTAGCAGTCAAAGTTTATGATTTAAATAGTTTTCCAATCAATTTTCATTAAAACAGCACCCTTAAATAGTACCATACAATCAATTGTATAATAAATTTGTGTTCTGTAGATATCCAGCAAGTCGCAATATGCCGTTGTGGGATTCCCGGATGAAGATGATGTCTGTGTTATTATACCATTATCCTGGGCTAATATTGAAGAAGGATGGTGTTTCTATCCCAAAATCAAGAATGAGGAGGAGGTGAAATACCACGTCAAAGCCCAAACCAGACCATCTGAAGACTGGGAAAAACGCAACATCCATCTCCTGCAAACATATGGTGAATTTTTTTTGTTTTTATTAGCTAATTTCCCATATAGGGAATAAGCTATTACCGTAGGTTTCAAGGAAAGACCTGGATCCGGGACCGATTTACTTTTTTCCTTTTGATGTCCCCAGAGGCCAAAAACACCATCTGTTCAAATTCATATATGTGTTCAAAAACACCATTTGTTCAAATTCATATAGATATACACACAGGGTGTTAAAAAATGCCAGGATTTGAATAGTATCCAAAGAATTACCATTTAAAATTGCGGCATTCTTTTGTAAACACCCTGTGTATGTGTCAGTTAGCATGATAACTCGAGCAAAAAAGGTCCGATTTTGATGAACATGTTAACCTATGTTTATTCGAACGAGTTTGCCCATGGGAACGGAGTTTTATGGGAGAATTTATGTGGTAAAAATTTGTTTTTGTCATTTTAGACAGTAAAAAATTGCCAATTTCTCCCTTGACCATTTTGAAGAGCTCAAAAACAAATAATTAAGTATATTAAAGTGTTTTTGTATAAATTTATTGGTTACAGAGAAAATAAAAAAAAATAAAATAATAATTTTGTATATTGAAGCGTTGTTGTATGCCTAACGGTTACGGAGATAATTTAAAAAAATTTAAATTTATCATTCCCATGTTATCTTATGGAGAATAAGTAAACTATGGTAGTCATGTTTATGCATATATTTTTATCAAACTTGGCAAATATATTTATTTTGATGTTTCAATAAATCTAGTCAACTTCAAACTTTTTTTTAGTATTTTGTATAACCAATATGATGTACAGTACAGTTATAATTATCATAATTCCATACTAGAACTAGGACGTCCCAGAGTCTCAGGATTGTGCGAGTTTATTTTAACTACGTAGAACAGTTTCCAAATGTAGCTGTTTCAACATACTACGGACGGCATTGCCTATTACCGATATGCCTAAGCATGTTAGGTACTCTACCTAAATATTGTTTTAAAGTAAAACATGTTGCTTATCCTATATTTGCTATATATATATTAAGTCACAGATCCATTTATTACAATTATTCTATTTCTTTTTATGGTCTTATCATTCCTTGACCTTAATACACATGAAATGTCCAAGACATCTGTGATTTTAGTATCCAAGATCTAACTACCTTGTATAATTTTTAGTGTGCTGTATTTGATGTATTAGACATGGTATTTTTGAAAAATCTTATTGTCATTTAAAGCTTTGGGTTTTTTTTTCAGAGAAGTATTCCGATGCACGAACTGAATATAAAGAAGTAGAACTGTCAGTGAACTTAGAATCAGATTACGAAATTACAAGCAAGGCGAGGAAGAGAAAAGCAAGCACAAGGCTTCAGTACCCTGGTGAAGATGGTGTTGGTACAGACATAAGTGATTCTGAAACAGAGGATTGTCAACCAAATAGAAAAGTTAAAAAAACACCGATCAACCCTAATCCTGTATTCACACCAACAATTTTTCCAGAAGAAAATTTAATTGAAAAATCTTCAAACCAAAATACGAAATTGCCTGTACCATCCACTCTTCTTTCATCCAAAAACAGAAACTGTGAAACAACAAAGGAAGTTACTAATTCTCTAGATCAAGGTAAAATATTCTAAATACAGATTATCATAAATTATGTCTGATAATAAACAAACATTGTCTTATAAACTGGTAATTCATTAACTTTGTAGCGTTAGAGTAAGCCTATGCGAGATATTGCTGTGAATGTGATTCAAACATTAGCTGTAATTTTTTTAAGTTAAGTTCATAGTCAACAGGTTTTTTTGGTGTTCAAATGAGGGTTTTTGTCTCAATCTTTTACAAAAATACCCCATCCGCAGCAGACCTACGTACTCAGAGCATTACCTGCTCTTTACAATGTCATAAAATAAATGTATCCACATTCCACATTGTATATATGTTGCAAAATAGGAAATTATACAACATTACTCTATAACATTGGGTATTTAGTGATCAGGTTTGCTGCCATTTGGTACACTGAAAGTTGTTACTTTTCATATAACGATATATTTT